ACACACACACACACACACACACACACACACACACACACACACACACACATGGATATGGCTCAAGTGTCTTCAGCCCTGAGTTCAAGCTCCTCATTTCTGCCCTCACCCTTCCCCCTCCAAAAAAACCACCCTAAACTAGCATTTACTTTTAATAACTAGAAATAGCCAGATGCTAATGGCTGTAATCCTGTAATTCTACCTACTTAAACCTGAAAACAGGGAAACTTTCTTTCTTTCTTTCTTTCTTTTTTTTGTGGTTATGGGGCTTGAACTCTGGGCCTGGGTGCTGTCCCTCAGCTCTTCAGCTCAAGGCTAGTGCTCTACCACTGGAGCCACAGCACCACTTCTGGTTTTCTGGTGGTTTATTGGAGATAAGAATTTCTTAGACTTTCCTGCCCGGGTTGGCTTTGAACTGCGATCCTCAGATCTCAGCCTCCTGAATAGCTAGGATTACAGGTGTGAGCCACTGGTGCCCGGCTAGGAAACTTTATTTCTTTAAACTATTTTTCCAGATTCTTCCCAGCTCCTTCCCAGTGATCCTCCACACAGGGGGCTTTCTTAGAAGGAAAACTGTTGTAACAAACAAACAACAACAACAAAAAACCCTTCCCCCAAGAAAATCTTCTAAAAATACAAAAATTTAGCTGGGCACTGGTGGCTCACACCTGTAACCCTCGCTATTCAGGAGGTTGAGATCTGAGGATCAAGGTTGGAAGCCAGCCCAGGCAAGAAAGTCTGTGAGACTTTTGTCTTCAATAAACTACTCAGAAAAAGCTGGAAGTGGTACTGTGGCTCAAGAGGTAGAGCACTAAAGCCTTGAGCACAAAGAGGCTCAGGGACAGTACTTAGGCCCTGAGTTTAGCCCAGGACTGGCAACAAATAATAATAATAGATACAGTAATAGTAATAATGATCTTCAGTCTATTTGAACCATAAGAAACTGTTTACTGGGGCTTCTTGTCAAGTATGTCCAGGTCCCATCATTTTGGAAATATCCATAGGTGGTTATTGCTCTTCCTGTGTCATACCCTCTGATTATGTGGTACTGTTCAAACTTCCTGGTAATGGTCTAATATTCCACTTTGCATCAAGTTACACACTAATGCAATCCTTCTTTCTCTGTTACATACTACTTCCTGCTAGGCTTTTTTCTAGGAGTCAGGGGTACCAAAATGAATAACACATGGGTGATGATGAGGGTGAGGTAGATGGTTATTGTGGTTGTAACAGTTAACAATGACAGGATTATTTGTAGAGTTGAGAATAAGCACTTAGGGAAAGGATTACAAGAGTTGAGATGGGCTTCCTGAATAACTGGAATTATAGGCATGAGCCACCAGTGTCCAGCAATAGCTTGTGTTTTAGATGAACTCTGTAAACTGGGCCTACTTGATCAAATGATGATGACTGGAACTTCTTCACTGGCATATAATCACACTGGAGACAGCTGTTCCTGCCGTGTCTGGTATCCTAATTGGCCTTTTCCTTGTAGCTACCATCGCCTGGCATCCTTCTCTCTCCTAAGAAAAAAGTTGAATGCCAGTCTTGAAGTGAGTGACATTTCCGAGTTACAGAAGTAAGTGCCACATTTTTACTGGGTTTTGCTTTACCACTGCCTGCTCAAGATGCCCGCCGATAATTAAGCAGCTGCAGGAAATCAGGTTGCTTATTTTCTTTTTTGAAATAGGGATATTAGGAACTAATTTTCTTTAAATGTTACACTGAACTGTCTGTGCATACTTCCATCCACAGGTGAGAGGTTATTGAATGCAAGAAGGTCAACAGACTTTTCTTATAGTTAAGTTTAGCTTTGGATCAATGGGAACTTGATCAATTAGTTTTGATTGGGTTAAATCTACAGGGACAGCCTTGCCACATCTTCTCATCTAGGTTTCTACTCACTGACATACTTAAGTTGTAACTTGCCTCTGGCTCTTGTGATATTTTCATAGTCACTCTTTTATGTGAAACAGCTCTAGAGGTTGAACTATGAACAAATAAAGAGCAAGCTCTGGTGGGCAGAAACCTTCCGTGTTTCGCTCATTAAAGAAATAAAAAATAAAAAAACATAGCCAGGCACTAGTGGCTTACTCCTGTAATCTTAACTACTCAAGAGGCTGAAATCTGAAGATTGAGGTTCAAAGTAAGCCTGGGTAGGAAAGTCCATGATACTCTTATCTCCAATTTACCTCCAAAAAACCAGAAGTGAAGCTGTGGCTTAAAGTGGTAGAGTGTTAACCTTGAGCACAAAAACTTAGGAACACTGCCCAGGCCCTTAATTCAAGCCCTGTGACTGAATACACACAGACACACAGACACACAGACACACAGACACACA